GTGTGTGTGTGTGTGTGTGTGTGTGTGTGTGTGTGTGTGTGAACCACAAACTGAAACAGCAAACAAAACCAACCCATCTGTCTGCTTAAAGGAAGGAGACGTCGGCCTGTTGACTCAGGGACACAGAGAGGCTTTGTTGATGCTGCAGTTTACATGACGACCGCCTCTGTCCTTCCTTTCTTCTTCTTCTTGGCAACAGATGGTCTGAAAATGATGACTGCAACCATAAAATGTAAAAAAACAGATGAGTTTAACTTAACACTGGTGTGGTTTTCATTTAGAGTATTGTTTTTAGTCAAATAAATAAATAAACAGGTTTTAAAGCGTTCTACCTCCTGAGTGAACTATAGCGCTGTGTTAACAGAATGTCAGACCTCTAATATAATATTTATTTTATCATGTTGACACAGAGACACATACACTGTAAGAGATATGTCTGCTTTGTAGCTGCAGACTTGCATTTCCAACCTGCTGATATTGAGAATATAAGCTTTTGTTTATTCATCATTTAATGAAACATTTAAATAATTAAATGTGTAAGAGCCTGCCTTGTTTGCTAATTTTCCTCATTTTTATCAAGAACGTTTGATCACTTTCTTTCCTTATATCAGGGGGTCAAACTGAGAAGCAAAGCGGACACATTTTACAACTTTGTTCAAGGCAGGACTAATTTCTGTCAAGATTTCTTGGAAAAAAGTTATTATTCTCATAGAAAAACAAGATGTCACCCCCAAATGACTGACAAGTGGGGTGGGGTTTGCATGGTGTTTAATAAAACAAAAATTGCTGGCTGCTTTCAGAATGTCCTGGGGATTGCTCTTGGTTACCCCACACTTCAACTCAATATTTCTAAAGATAGTTTAGTTGTAGCCTTTTGAAATTAGCTTTGGCAGCCATCTTGGATTTTGTATTTTAAATCACATTTCAAAGATTGTTTCTCAGCTACTGCTATGCTAATTTTCAATTGTTTACAAATGGTATAGCCCTTTGTGAAGTTAGCTTTAGCACTAGCAGTTAATTTAGTTGGGACTAACAATCCGTATGTTTTTTAAAGTCACTCTTAGCTAAGATCATGCACAAATTTTCAGCTCAGTCTTTCTTAAAACAGTTGAATTTGAGTTATTTGTTGTTAGTTGTGGAGGCCATCTTGGATTTTCGAATCCTGAGTTGTTTTATTTATTTGCATTAAAATAAAAACCCACTTTGGACACCCCGTGCCACCCCATGCACAAATGTCTAGCTCTGCCCCGATTTAATTATTTTTTTCTTCTGGATTCTTTGTGGTGTAACAGCTTCCTGTTTCCACATAACAAATATAAATTTGTGCAGAAGCTAATTAGACCAGAATGTGTAGGGGGAACAAAGCTGTTGTGTTGTGCTGACTCTTTGGAAACAGCATCTTTTCCTGGAGAAAAGGTTTCTGTTTCCAAAGAATCAAATAACTGCTCTGCATCTAGAGAAGCTTCCAGCTTAAAGAAGCATGAGTTTAATTTCTGACATGAAGCGTTTGGTTTAAAAATGTCTCAAATCAAATTTCAGCTGTGAAAATAATTTTATATCAACCTTTCTTTGTTGAGCTGTGGCGGCCATGTTTAATGGGACTCATATGAGAACAAATACACAATCAGCGGAGTTTGAAGCCTGGATCATCATTAGTAACCTGACAAAAACTAAAATCAGACAGGATAAAATTAATGAATAACTAGATTTAATTGATTGTTTTCAACATTAAATGCCAAATATAGATTTCCCTCAGCTCCATATTGTGTTCATCTGAACTCTGTGCAAACTTTCCTTGAATTATGTTCTAAAATTTAAATTAAATCCCATCAAAAATGTATTCCCAAGTCCTCTAAATTCTCCAAAAATCAAGAAATCTTTTTTTTTGTTTTTAACCAAGACATATTTTTATTATTCTTTCGTCACATTCTGTTACCAAACAACTTAAAATTCAAGATTGTTTTATTAAATACTACACACTTCTATAAGAATTCTAAGAGGTTACTATAATAATTAAATATATATATTGTCAAACATTTACTAAATATATACTCTGAAGTGAGGTTTAGTGCCTTTTATACACATTTGTACAAAAAAAGATGAATACATTTTAGTTGTGCTGCATCAGACAATGATATTTAGTGTTGGTGATTCTTTTTAAACAAACACGCTACTTTTAATGTTTAATTAAAACAAAAAAAGTGAGTTTATTTGCACGTTGCAGGTTTATGAACCAGATGAAACTTGTTCAGGAGGCAGGAGACACAGCGGTCAGTGGAAGATGACGGCTTCTGTGGAAAATAAAGGAGAGTTGATCTCAGTTAGTCCGTTTATTATTATTATTATTATTATTATTTATTTTTATTTTAAAAAATGCATCAACATTTACCACGATGTGCAGCTTTAAACGCGGTCCAACATGCTCTCCAGGCGCTCCACTCTTCCAGACACATCAGCTAGTTCCATCAGTCAAAGAAAGTCGTTTGACAGAAAGTGGAAAAACGGCAACAGTGGCTGCAGAACCTGTTAAACTACCAGCAGCTACAGAAACTGTCTCCATCTGAAACAACAGGAAGGATATGTTTGGCTGTGAGCTGCTGGATGGCTGCTTGTGTCTTCTTCTGGAAAGCCAGCTGGGCCTGACATTTACAGGGATCCTCCACCACCTCCACCCGAACCTCCTCGCCTGCAGAAAGCAAAATTTCACATCAGCGTAACGAGAAGGAAATGTCAAGCTGAATGCCACCCACACTGCCTTTCCCAAGCAAAGCTCAGCGAGATCAAAGGGGTTTGGAGCAGCCGGACGGCGGGTTCTTACGTCTCGGAGAACAAGTTCTCTTGTCCGGATTCAAGATGAAACCACTCCGACACTTGCAGTAAAACGAGGCGTTGTTGTTGACACAAATGTGCTCGCAGTCATGTCCCATGGCGCAGGGGTCCAGACCTGGAACAGGTTCAGAGCGGAGCTGTATGGAGTTAAACGCAGTCAATATCTTACCTGCAGTAGAAAGCAATCAGAGTGATTCAGAGAGAAGTTCAGATTGGTTCTAAGACTGGTTTTTTTAATCTCCGACATTTAAAACCACTCAATCAAGTACACTACTTTTTTTTTACACTGCATTGCTTCGACATCAGTTGTTTTTAATGACAGAAGTTAGCTTTAGAACAACTTGCCTTCCTACAGTTTTGCTCAATTCTAGTTTCCCTTCTCTGCTCTGTCTGGGATTTCTCCCATAAACGAGGATTTCTCTGGTAGAAATTCAACTGGTCCAATCAGTGAACAGGAAGATTTGTGAGCGACGACATCGATTTTTCTGCATCGTTTTAGTCTGCCTATATTTTAGCAATAGCAGTGGAGGAAGTGAATGAACCAGTTCATGTTGACAAGGCTTCCAAATTAAATTAAATTTGTCTCTCAAAGTCTGCAGCTCTCATTTTCATTCAGATCAGCACTTCTCGCAGTAGGGGATGATTGTTTACAGCACAAACAATTTCCTGTTAGCTTCCTAGCTTAGCCTCCGTCACGGTCGAGCTGGCGCTTTACATACGTCACAGCCAAACGTCAGCGATCGGATAAAATCAACCCAATCATTTTAAACTTCAATAGAGGCCACGCCTCCAGCAATAAATTGCGTCTCAATAGCCGAGAGTCCAGACTCTCTGTACGAAGCAAAGCGTAGAACAAAGGGCTGTTTTTACCAGGCGAAAATTGCTTCATGAAAACTTCTCTCAGATTCTCCAAACTGGTTTCTGCTGCAAGCAGGTTAACATTTGACCAGAACTCCACTTCCAAAAACCCTTTTTTTTTAAGTGAAGCAGGTAACTTGTGGTAAGACAGATGTAATTTAACATTTCTCTAAAATCTCGGGTCTCTGCTGTGATTTTGTGGGTCAAAAGCTGAAAAGTTTGGGAACCAATGGTTAACATGACTAAATGCATTGTTTGCTGCTGTACGATCGACTGGTTAGCTGTTTGTGTTAAGCACCGAACACCCTGTGCATATCGGACCAGACTGTCCGTTCGGACTCCTGCACCACAGCTCAGTGTGTCGGACATCAAAAGGTTAAAATCTCAGAACCCTGAAGCTCAACGCTGACGTGTCCTGAAAGGTACAAAAAGTATCAGAGGAAAAACAAAATCAAAACCTCAACGAAAATGTCTAGAAATTAGGTTTCATTGTACTTTAAAGTGCCAGTGACATCAAATTTATGTAATAAATGTGAATGCTTTTTTTGAAAGATAACATTAAGAAAATATTGCAAAAAATTTTTCATTCTACTGAGATGAACAGTTGTTGAGATATTTACATGTGAAGTAACAGGAAGTGATGTCAAAGGGGAATGTAAACAGTGTTGCTACAATGACCAACAACCCAGACTATAGAGAAGAATCTGATATTTCTTTAGATTATTGTGAGTCTCTATCAGAGAAATGAAGAAAGAGTTTAAGTAATATTGTTTCAAAAAAACAGAGACCAGGGAGTTTATTTTCTTAAAGAGTTCCCCTTTGATGTCACTTCCTGTTTTACTTTGGCTGAGCCAAGTTCAAAAAGATGCCAGTTATGTGACAAAATGGTTAAAATCCTGTGTATTGTGTCGTTTCTTAAATGTAAATATGTTTTCTTTGACTTTTTGTATTTGAAGGATGCATGTCACAGTCACTTTAAAATCCACATTCAGAAGACTTTTATAGTTTGTAACAATTTTACACGGCTGTAATTCTTCAACGAGTGCGTTCTCGTGCTGACATCTGCAGTCCACGAGGGTTGAGAGCATCTGCTGTTGTTTCAAAGGTTAAAGGTCATCAGTAAAATTATAAATATTTAATATTCTGCATCAACCCGACTGGAGACTGAAGGTGCCATCACTGAGGAACCACAGCCGGGCTCTCCGTCTTTGTCCTACCACACAGGGTTTCTCTGAACTTGGATGTGAGCTTCTCGATGACGCCGTACGTCTCCACGTAGAAGACGTGGTCCTCCAGAGGGACGCTGGCCATCAGCTTCAGGGACCGCATGTCGGCACGGTCCACACCCACGGCGTAGATCTCCACGCCCGAGGCTCGGGCCTCGGCGGACACTTCCTCCACCTGATCTTGAGGTCTTCCGTCGGTCACGATGATGCCTACCTTGGAGATGTTCCTGGAGCGGGGCCGGGCTCCGGACTGCTCGGTGAAGGCTTCGTCCATCGCCGTCCTGATGGCAAGGCCGGTCATGGTGCCGGTGGCCAGAGGCTCGACCCGCGCGATGGCTCTTTTCAAGTCGAGCTTGTTGAAATGGTTTTTGAGGAGGAACTCTATCTTCACCGTGCTGGCGTAGTTGACCACAGCCACCCGGGTGGCGTCGGGGCCCACGTCGAGGGTGTCGACAATGTCGGCCAGGAATATTTTGACCTTATCAAACTCGGCGGGACGCACGCTGCGAGAGCTGTCGATGATGAAGACCAGGTCCAGGGTACGGCTCCTGCACTGAGTGTCTGTCTCTGGTGATCAACCAAACCATGGCACAAGTAAGTCCAATTATTTGCCTTTTTTTGTACTTTGACAATAAGAGTCTTGTGATGCACGACGTATTCTTACATAGGGACAAAACAAAACTGCTGTGCATCTCCGCAGGTTTTGTTTTCACCAAAATGTTACTGTAAGGACAAATTCTGCATCATTTCAGGTATTTAACCATCTCATTTTCCTGGAAGAAAAGGATGTTTGATGCTCAGAACATGACGTGACAACACAGAGTTAGGATCCCAGTCTTTTCTTTACTGTATATCAAACCTAAATCTCTCTAGTTTGCAGTCAGATCATCTCCGTTTTATCATTTAGTTTGATAAAACTGAAGATTATGTTATAGTTTCATTCCTAAATTAAAGTTTGCCTGTTAGTTCATGCTACCTGACACGTGTATTTTCTACATCGTACTGTCTTTTTAACGTTAAGGTCAATGAAAAACATCAAACCTAACTGGTAATATTCTACCTGTCTCCACAGGACTGATGGTGGTGATGAAGCCGCTTTGGGTACTGACCGGTAGCATCCCAGGAGCTGGTGGAACTGTGGTCACAATGGTTGTCAGTGTTGCCATCGAGGTCGCTGGCAGGGTTGACACCACTATTGGCTCTGGAGGGGCTGGAAAGACGGTAGGGGGGACTAGAACAAGCGGCACCGTTGGGCATGGACCTTTTGGTTTGTAAGGGAACGGGCCTTTGAGCCTATGGTGGGGGTGGACAACTGGTGGAGATAAACCTTTGTAAATGTGATGCGTATGTGACGCACCCAGCCCATTGAACCTGTGGTGATAGGGCGGCACGGGGACCATGGGTCTGTGATAAGTCACTGCCGGAGATAGAGGTCGATACAGTACAGGTGGGGGGATCCTTGGTGGCTGGAAGTGGTAGTGATACCCTCCTCTATATGTGTAATCACTTCTGTGATCTACAGACGTGAAGAAGTGATGGAAAACATTAGTAGGTTCATAAACATGAAAACTGTGTAAGTTGACGTAGAAAGTGTTAGTAAAACATTAGAATCATGTTTAATTCCTTAAACAGCACAAATTGTTAATAAAAGTCTGAGGTGAGGCAAATTTAAAATTTAAGTCATGAATGTTTAAAAATTTGATGCAAAAGGACAAAAAGTAGTTTAATCATGACTTTCACTGTATTTAAGAGAGAAATGGAAATGTACTTTTAATTGGCGTAACTTCAGTAATCATATTTTTTGGACAAACTGAGCTACCAAACAGCAGAAAATACAAAGCCTACCTAAAAACAGGCGCCTCCAGATTTTTTTAATGGGAGGGTGCACTAAGATCCTGAGGTGGTACCAAAACCAAAAAACAGAACATCATTTTAGCAGATTTATTGTGTCATATCTAAGTTATTTAATAAATACAGCAATGCACGAGTTAGAGAATCACCTTCTGATATACACAGGCAGTGTTTTAAAATTTTATTTACAACTGATACTAACAGAGTAGTTAAATTACTGAAGTTTGTCTTTTCATAAATTTACATTTATAACATAATATTAATTTGACCTCCTGAGAATCTGTATCCTAATGCTGAGGACATTGGTTTTAGACTTATTTTATTTCATTTATTTATTTTATTATTATTATTCAAGGGTACTAGATTTTAAGTTTTTAAATTTCGTATAATTTTAAAACCTATTTGCTCATTAACAATGTTTGTTTTTATTTGAGGTTCTACTAATCCTAAATAACAAAATAATTAAAACTATCTAAGCCAGGGGGGGCCACCAGTTTTTCTGAGGGATGGCCGTTATCCCCCTGGCCCTCCCTTGGTGGCAGCCCTGCCAAAAAAAGTTGTCCAAAGGTAAAACATAGGCTACTGATTAATTTTAGACATTACGTAGAATTATAGGTTGATTTAGGTTTTTGTTTCGTAGCAAAGTTCAACATAAATATAAAAACTCGACGTATTTCTAAGAAAACACAAAGCTACATTTTAAGATTTATTATTAGTAAATTACCATGTTAGGTTTGCACATACTCTACTGCTAGATGAAAAAAGCGACAGATAAAAGCATCTTTAGTTTTTGCAGAAGCATTAAAATGAAAATAGACAATTCAAGCTTTTGTTTTACATGAAAAAATAAAAGGCTACAACTTTAGTTTTGCGACACATACGTGTTGGATTCAGGGTCCTGAGGGGTGGTCGCCCGTTGTGTCTGGTCTGAGCGTAACTTTGTGCAGATATAAGATGAGGGTCTCCTGCTCCGAGGAGGTACGTGGCCCGAGTCACGTCACACAGCAGCAAAGCGCTGAAGACGAGGCTCTGCAGAAAACGCTTCATCGTTGCATCGGTTCTGCTCAGGTCTGAGGACGAGGAGGGTTCTGCTCAGCTCTGCGGGGGGTCCGACCGCCTCCACATATGAGGGGGATCCGCAGAGACGCGTCAGACTCTTGTGTCCAATCCAACAAGGTGGGACAGTCAAGAGCTGCAGGGTGAAATCCTGATGTGGAGGGCGGGGTTATAAAAAACTTTTTTATTTGCTTTAAGAGGAAAAACAGCTCTAATCCTTTATTTAAAGCTCGACATAAATAAATCAGACATTTATTTATTTATTTTTCCCGAGACTTTTATTGAAGTTAACAGAATTTCCACGGGGATAAAATCATTATTACCAGTAAAGTAATGGAGGAGTACGCGTCGATAAGCATGCAACAACTAATGTTCACAAGACTAGCTGTTTGCTCCAGAGGTGAAAGGAGAGGCAGAGAGAAGCGATCCATCTCTCTCTCCTCCCCTCAGTCCCGGCTGGAAAACTACTCGGCAGCTTTGCTCGAACATCATGGAAGCAAAGCAGCGATGATGTCTGCTGGGGTGGCAAACCGTACTACAGCGAAGCTAAATAAATAAAAATAACAACCCCCAAAATTAAAAACAAAGGTGCTAAAGACTCAATTCAAGACTGAGGTGGAGCAGCCTAGGTCTCAACAAACAGGAAAACTGCAACACAATTCAACAACAGGGACTCTAAAAGCAGATTGTCATATTTTTTTTCAATCTTTTCTCTTTTTTAAAACGTCATATATTGATCCATTAATAGGATAGTGCTGGATTGATGAGAAATTGAAGCTACTTCTCACAGATTCTTTTACTAAGACTTAAAAAAGGTTGAGGGTGTAGTGTGGACACAAAAGGATTCCTTTCTTTTGTTTCCCCCCTTCAAACGCATTCATTCATTCATTCATTTTCACACAAATTTTAACTTTCCAACATTTTACCTTTCACATCGCCAGGATGCTTTAAAGACACGCTGAGGAAATACAGCGGGGAGGACAAATAAAACACTTTAGAGGAAGCAGGTCGGGGGGGGGAATAAGGGCATTATGGTGTTCAGAATGAGTTGGGGGGTAGGAATGCATATGATGGCTGTGTGCAGTTTGGCAGCATGGCTGGTGATTAGGCTGGCATGTAGGGGGGAGGAGGGTCCTTCTCTGGCATCTTCATCGCCATCTCATAAGTGGGCAGAATGTACTGAGAACAGAGAAGAAAGAAGGAGTTAGTTCCTTCATGAAACAGGCTTAATGTGTAAAAATAAACTGTATTTCACATGGATATGATGCAAAGTGGAAACATCTGAACTGCAGCAGATTAAGCAACTCTGGCAGTTTTTGCGCAGATATTTAGTTAATTATTATTTATTAATAGAAATAAAAACTAAACGTTAGACACTGCTGAAAATATTTAAATATTTGTTAAAAAAATCATCATAAACTGAGAACAATAAAGAACTCAGTATGGCACCAATATTCATCAAAGTAAACTGAATCTTAAGATTATGTACAAACACACTTTGTGTGTATACAGCGCCACCTGCTGACATGAATGGAGCATTACATACAAAGAACGCAACGGGAATTTAACACCAAATAGAGCTCCTATTAAAGAACTTTATTAGTCTGAGATTTTTCCAAACACACCATTCCTCAGACTAACAAACTGAATATCAAGTCTCCATCTTTACAAACCTACAATACAAACACCTGTTTTATAAAAGACTTTTATTAAACCCAAACCATCATCTCAAAGTTTTAGCCATTTGGGACTGGGGACCCCTTACAGGGGCAAAACAAATTCCAGGGACCCCCTCATAAACCCCATGCTGTTTTAAAAGATAATTTACTGTCATTTCAACCCCTAAATGCCATGGGAATGTATATTTTTTTTATTTTGTTTATAATGTTTGTTTTATTAGTTCCCTTTGTATTTTTAAAAATAAAAACCAATTTAAGAATTCAGTGAAATTTTTTGAGGACCCCCAAGGTATCTCTCACGGACCCCTGGGGGTCCTGGGGCCCCAGTTTGAGAACCTATGCGTAACGACACAGAGAACAGGTAAGAAAATAACATAAACAACAACATATGTAGAAAAGAGCAACACAATGTAAGGCACTCTGTTCAACAAGAAACTATAAATCCACATCACTTTAAGGCACGTGTCAAACTCAAGGCCTGTGGGCCAAATGTGGCCCGTGCTTCAGAGATGTATAAATGTCTTAAAATAAACTACTTCAAAGTCAGCATTGACCAGAAACTACATCTCCCATAATGCATGTTGATTATTTTACCCACAAAATGACGGCACAGAGATGTGGAGCTGCACAGGTTCAGAAGCAGCAGGCAGCCGGTGAAATTCAGTGTAAAATCTCTGTTTCGCTGCGTTTTCACGCAGGGTTCAGTTGTACTGAGAAGTTGAAATTTCACACTTAAAAGTGGTAAATTTAAACTGGAACACCCCTTTTGGAAAAAAAATTCCTGTCAGAAAGTGGGAAAGTTCTGAGTTCAAGATGGCAGCTGCTCACAACTCAACATTATTCAATTTCATTTCCCATCATTTATTTCACAGTACATGTAGCACTTTTCAGTGTTTAAAAGAGGACGTGTTAAAACACTGTTTATATGCAGGAAATGCCAGGTAGAGCTCAGTTATTGTGACATTTCGCTCTTTCAGCGACACCACAAAGCTCATGTGGAAGCTCTGTGAAAACAGAGGCATCGGAAAAGAATCAAGAAGATGATAAAATCAGGATAAAAATCAATTTAAAAAATAACTTACTTGTTATCCAAAAAACTTCAGGTTTACAGAGAAATGAGTTTAAATCACAAATTCTGTGACAATGATTCCAAGTCTTAATGTGTCTTTTTACGTGAAGCCACTAAAATAATTATGTCATTTCTTTCAGCACTGAAATATTCAGGCGTCTTATTAACATCACCGTTTTACAAACATACATCAGGACATGTAAATGTTACAAGTAGAGCCATAAATAATGCCTTTTTATTCTGTATTCTGTAAATGTCCACACAGATAATTACCAGGAATAGAATCAAGAACATATGGTGCTAGTTTATTTCTCTCCTGTTTATGAATGTTTGATGCGCCTCGCCTACCTGGGGAGGAGTCTCAAAAGCGGGGTACACAGCGATCTCTGGCATGTTCCTGTTGTTGATGTACTTGTAGCAGTTCCACACACAGTTGATCAAGTAAGCCTGAAAACCAGAGAGGATCAAACTCTTACAGTCGACACTTTCACCTCCAATTCTCCTGCTAAACCAAACGTAGGAAATAAAAACAAAAAGTTTGGAGTTTTTCCTTCATCTCATTTTTTCATAGATGCTGTTTCTTGGATGGTGCCGAAGGACGTAAACTGAAACGACGCTCGCTAGATCAAAAGTGCGTACAGACTGTCGGTAAGTGTTTCACCTTGAGGATGATGAGGAAGGCGAAGAAGACCAGAACAAAGAGCAGCAGGCAGCTGGAGTTCAGAGAGAGGAGGTAATCCTTGTACGGGAAATCTGGCTGAGAAAACCAAAAGGAGCAGCGTTGGATGGTTAGTAAAGTCCTGACATATATTCAGCTCAAGATTTCACGCTATAAACCAAGAAAAACACTGAAACTTAACACCACTCAGACTGTGTAACAACAGAAGTAAAATACTTTTTCTGTTTAAAGGAAAGTAAACACAGTTTCTGCTATCAGTGTTTTATTGTAGAACTAAGATTTTTAGTGTTTCCTTGTAGGATAAAAGCCTTTGGAGAACAGCTTTTATTTATCTAAACTAACAATGTGTACATAAGTACGTAGTAATACTTTATATTTCATTCACTGATGCTGCAGGAAGTACACAGTCCCAGTAAAACACCCTACAGAAGTGGTGTGGCTGAACTGACGGGACTGACCAGCTGGTCCAGGTAGTCCCTGATCCTGGGCAGGTAGGTGAGAGAGCTGATGGCCACCAGGCAGCTCAGAGCGAAGTCGAACAGCTGGTAGCAGAAAAACGGGATGAGCCACCCGTCACGGTGCTGAGGAAACACAGCAAATAAGACTTAACTTAAACATAAGCAGATAAGACTTTTATTTTGAAGAACCACCATGTTTATTTCAATCAACTCTCAGAGAACTCGTTTCAGAATAACTTTTTACACGAGGTCAAAATGCTAAATAGAGACTGTGGTTCATAATCTGATTGTAAAAAAATTTTTTTAATTAAAGCTTTAATTCTAACCTTGTTTCATGATTATACGGTTTATATATTTTCCTACAAACTTTAGATACAGATTGAGTTTAGATGATCGAGTCCTTCAGTTTACAGAGAGGGTTTGAAATGAGCAAGATGGTTCCTCTTGTGCTTTTCTATAAAACCCAGACTACAGCCTGGCAAAACTACGGCACTCATAATATTCTGAAATGCTACAACCATGAGTTAAATACAAACATCTGCGCACTACGCTGTATCTGCTACCGTTCTCATGAAGGAAGTAACTGAACAGTGAAAGCATGAGTCTCCACCGTACGAACGACGTGCTCCGTGTTCAGGAAGCAGATTATCGTCATGCTTTAACTGCACTGTCATCCCTACTAGCAGCTTAAATGAGGTCTTTGTGAAAAAGCCTTCAAACCTGTTGGTCTTGATGTTAGGAGGCAGGCCTGGGAGGCAAACATGATCAACAGTCAAAACAGTGTTTAGTGGTGAAGCCATTGAACCAAGCTCCTTTTAACAAACTGCTAAATGTAGACGAGATTAAAGAGGGATTAGGAGTCATCACTAAGTATTGTTGATATTTTTTATTTTACTTTATTGCCAAGTATGTTTGAGTTTGCATTTGAAACTCCAACACAGCCTTTAAAATAGGGAGCTGTGGTGCAGTGGTAGGGCAGCCAACTCCAGACCAGAAAGTCAAAGGTTTGATTCCCCGCTAAGCCCACGTGTCATAGTGTCATTGAGCAAGACACGCGCCCGCTGCTCCACTTGTGTGCATCTCATGTGATGGGTCACATGTAGATACTAATTCTGTCATTGTATAGGGTCTCTCTTGTAAATGACACGTCTCAATGAGATTACCTGCCTAAATAAATACTCCACCAGGAGGACAACAAAACAAAACATTGTGCTACATTTACTCAGGATACAACCATCATCCCAACATGGATCAAGTATTTTTTTGTCACTATTCCCAAGCTAAGGTGCTAGGCTAACAGCTGGAGTCAACGATGGGACGAGCTGAATTTGACCGGATGGTACTGTATCATGGACTTAACATCTGCGCTAAACATATAATCAGGTAAAAGACCAACACTGGACCACCTGATCCTATCCCTGCACTTTCTGTTGATAAACAGGTACAGTAAAACTTATTGTAGCCTACTGCTAGCTTTATGCTAGCCTCACTCATAGACAACAGAGTCAGAATCAAAGACGCCAGGTTCAAAGCAAAAAGGTTCTTTTTATTTATCTTTTTAGTCATGACTAAAACCTATAAAGATGGGCCGACCTCATTAGTCATTTTGGGGGAGGAAGGTGAGCAGTGTGGAGTGTGGAAGCAAACGTTGGGGCAATTAATTTAATCACGGGGGCGTTGCACAGACCAGAGATAGCTACAAGCTAACTTTCATCTGTTGTCACTGGGCAGAGGCAAAATTCATTAGTAGTCCATAAACAATCTTTAAAATACAATTCAATAAAAACAAACCAGATTAACACAACATTTACAGATTTACAGATCCTTCTAATCCTTCTTTACATTAAATATAAAACATGATAAAGTGCTACAACCTCAGATAGGTAGAGGTAAAAGATCTGCAACTGTTCCTTTGAGACTTCCTAAAGATTAGCTACGATGGGGTGATATTTCAAACTAACAGGAAAACAAGAAATATTTCCCCCTTTTTTTAATACAATTATCACAAAAACCCTGACGAGTTTGAGTTAACCAACCCCCAACAAATCATCTAATAATGTAGAAGCTGTGTTACAGAAGGATCAAAATTCTAACTGAATATTGGCAGGATTTGACAAAAACCACACAGAATCATATTGTGTGTCCTTCGCACACTTACAGTAATGGCTCCATACACCATCATGGCACTGATGGTGAGCATCAGCAGGGAGATGGCAAATCCAACACAAGCATTTTCTGCACGACAGGGAGAGAGGAATACAGAATATAAATCCAAACAGCTTATTTTTAGAAACATCCTTATGTCCAGATGTATTTCCTGATGTCTGTTTGTGCTCCAGGAGGCAGCAGTGATGAGTGGACGGTCTCCAGGGCCAAATCGCTTTGTTTTAAAGGGCAGCTCTGGGGAACATTAAGCTGCTCCCTTTCTGCTGGGTCAGGGAAGATACCAGGCTCGGTCTGGGATAATTAAACGGTCTTCCTTTCAAATCTTTTTTGCTCTTATCAATCACACTCTCACTTCTTAACGGCTGCAGTGGGACTACAGCAGCGATGCGGTCCACTCGAGCTTCTTTATAATTCAGCAGCTCATCAGTTTGACTCTTAGACAGCTGATAATAACCAAACAAGTGGTGGGTTTTTAAAAAAAATATTAGGGCTTAAATGGAAAAGTTATTGTTATACTTCTGATATTTTAAAATGTTTGCAATAAGAGACTTTTAATGGACCGATCAGAGATCAGGGTCACATTGTTAATCTTAAGATTGAAAGCTTTGCTACAATCAAATTAATTTTTTTAAATGTTAACATTTCCGCGCACATCGGCAAGGAAGGGATTTAATTTTCTGTGCCCATTATTATTTCAATGTATTGTTTAATAGTTTTGAGGATCATATATTTTATTAATATAGTTTTAAACCCAGTCTTCATGTTGCCATTTAATTTTTTTAAGGTAAAAGTAGGAATATTCCAATGTTCTCATGAAGGTAAAAATCTGACAAAAAAAAGTTTATTTCTGGTAAAACAGTTGTGGAGTTTTTAGGCCGCATACGTGCTTTTATATATATTTTTAGCATCTTTCAGCCTGTGAAATTTCAAAATTATAGATTTGCTTGAAGAGAAACTTAAAACTGAATCATTTTATTTTATCCTGGGAAACATAATGAGTGCTGACAGTCATTATAAATAGTCTGACTGTTTTTGTTGGACAACCTCTGCTGCCCTGTGTGACGATTTATTCCTGCTGAGGGAAAGCCGGTTCACACAAGTTATTTCTCCTTTTTTTCCACTGAGTCACTGTTTAAAAAAAAAAAACTAACAAAGAAGCCAACTAGAAAGAGCCTCAGCAGTCCTGATCCAGCACAGAAACCAAACATAAATCCTCGGAGGGACAATTTGTTTGGAGCAACATAAGCAGCACCGATACTTCTTGTTTGTTTTATTTTTATTTGAACAGAGAAGGCAGGGATACACTTTCAGATCTGAAGGAGTAAATATTGTTTCTGTCAGAGAGTGTTTATCAGAATAGAAGAATGTCATTTTTATGTAAACATCAAATAAACCGAACATTTTAACCGTTTATTGTTATTTTCTTACCAGACATCCTGTCAGAGGCAAAGTAATGATCAATGACTTCGTACTGCAGGTCAATGGTCGGGACATTCTCAGGGTGGGTCACAGCCACAGTCAGCAGGATGCCCATCAGCAGGTTGACCACCTGAGGTCAGGAAAACAGAGGAACAACTTTACTGAAACAAAAAACAACAACTATCACACAATTATTGTTTGTTTTTTTATGTTTAAAGCATTTTTCAGCACATTTTAAAGTCAATTCAAAACTTTACAGGTAAGAATTTTTGCAAGTTTAACTTGGAGATACTGAAAAAATAAAAAACAAAAACAAAAGCAAAAAAGCAATTTATTGCATTTTTTCCACCCTCCAAACAAAGCAACTCTGTAATGATTTAAAGATCTGAAAGAAACCATCTAAGGACTCCCCATCGTTCAACAGAAACAGTGCACTGAAAGAAATACACAAATAACATGGCTACTTAAAAAAATACAGATATTTAACTCCTGACATGAATGTAGATCTGATTTATTAGTAAGGTAATTTCATGCAAAAGGAAAAAATGAATGGATGGAAAAATAAATAAAAAGGAGCTAAATTAAGAATACGAATGAAACCTTTAAATTAATCACATGTCAAGTTTCTGATTGTTGAACAAGATCGTCATTTATTTTAATGTTTTTTTGAAGAAATGTTGCTGTGATTTTCAGTTAACATGAACTCAGGCCAGACAAGTTCTATAAAGCCTGTATAAACTGATTATCTATGCAATAATATATTTTTTAAGGCCAAACTACAAGTAAGGCTATGTCCATGTGAATTATGATTTAAATTAATTAATTTGTATAGAGAGAAATGTCAAGTATTAATAATACAGTGGACTAAAACATTTAATTTGTAAGGTTTACAATTTAAAAACAATAACATTTTATTGTCATAAAACAGACTTCAAACCAGATCATAATAACATCATTAAAAAGGTGGCAATTATTCATGAACACAAACTAATTTCTAAACATGGTGTCCAAACTCAAACCACTGATTTACCAATGAATAAAGTTCTTGTCTCTTTTGGCTGGTAGATGTAAAAGTGTAAACAGGAATACTACTTTCTCTTTGCAGATTTATACCAGAGCCTGACCACAGAAAAGTTGGGTAGGCAATGTGCATAAAAGAGCTCTAAACGACCCAAAAAATACAGGCTTACGGTCCTAATTTTTATTAGCAAATCCGATCAGAATGGGATAATGTCCAAACCAGAATGAAGCAGACAAACTAAGAACAAAATCTGACCTCTGATCATGTTAACAAACAGCCCACAGGTTTGATAAACTGACCAAAGGTGATGACAGAACAGAAGTCAGGGATATCAGGAAATGATGAAACAACACATGATCACATAGCTGATTTTTTTGAAACACACTGTAAAAAATGAAATGTTGGATTTATTTAACCATGTTATGTTATCTGGTTCCACTTAACTGAGTTGAGTAAATTCAAAGCAACATACCAGTTTTTTAGCCAAAGAACATGAGTATGTTGCTTTGAATTTACTCAACTCAGTTAAGTGGAACCAGGTAACATAACATGGTTAAGTAAATCCAACATTTCCTTTTTAGAGTGCATGACGACCATAAAAAAGACAAATCTCAAGATAACCACAAGTGAGCCCAAATATGAAGAGAAAAACATGAAAAATAGCTTCAAACAAATGCTAGCTGAAAACGATTTGTGACACAAAACCACCTAAATTAGATAAAAAGAGAAGAAATTAAGATTACATATGTTGACAAGTTTATAAATCAGGTTCATTTCTGAATTTATTTGAATAATGACCATATTATACACAGGTTAGGACGTAAATATCGAACAAAAAACTACCTAGTGACTCATAATAATACTTAAGTGACGTCTGCGTCAGTATCAGGAAATAGTTTTTTTTTTTTTATATTGCGGAGTTTTCGATTCCGCTATGTTGATGTTTGCCGAATATCGGCTAACAAAGTAGTTCAATGTCACGCGTCTGTTTTTGTTTTTCTCATGTTTCTCTCGGTTAGCAGGAACACGACATCGAATACAAACAGTCCTGGTGTTTATTTGGTCATAAATAAAATAAGAGTGTTGGAGACTTGCACCGACAGACCACCTAATAAGTTAGCAAGCTAACGCTAGCTTTAGCATCCCGTTTTTAGCGTCACCTCGGCAAAGTAAGCGCAATTTTAGCAGTCAAACATAAAGCGCAGAGCGCAGTTGTGTCCCCGAGAACCTCCAAAAAACAATAATTAAAAGGGAACAATAGCCCTGTATGTAGAGCGTGAATTGGTTATGTAACACCCCACTAATGCGGAGACTTGTTAAGCCAAAACAGCGCTCGCTGACGTTAGCGCTTCAATCGTTCATCGAGAACCATCTTACGTACCATGTACCATGTTCCCAGGATAATGGTCCCAGTTCGAACATGGCAGCATCCGCAACATCGGGTTGTATACAGTCTGTCTCGACTCGGCTTAAAATGATGCATGTCCTCCACGAGTGTAGGGAGAAACATCTGGAGAGCTGGTCGAAGAGCGGAAAAATCTTCTCAGCATCAACAGTCAGCACGAGCACGGAGGGGGGAGAAACGCCCACCAGCTCCCCCTGCGCACACCGCGGAAGAAAACAAACGCTTTGATAGGCGGACAAAAAATGATTGACAGGCGTTTAAACCAATAGCACGAGAAAAAGACGGCGCCGTGGATTTGACTGACAAGAGTATAAACCAATGGCGACGAGAGTTTGAAAAAATTTGTTTCAATTGCCTACGCATTATATGGAAGCCCATTTCCACCACCCTGATAAAAAAAATAAAACTTGTATCTCATAATTATGACTTAGCTATCTCATAATTATGACTTAGCTATCTCATTATTATGAGATAGTATCTCATAATTATGACTTAGCTATCTCA